AGGCAATTCTCCTGCCTCAGCCTCCTGAGTAGGTGGGATTACGGGCACGTGCACCATGCCCAGCTAATTTTTTGTATTTTTAGTAGAGACGGGGTTTCACCATGTGACCAGGTTGGATCTCGATCTACTCGACCTCGTGATCCACCGCCTCGGCCTCCCAAAGTGCTGGGATTACCGGCTGTGAGCCACCGCGCCCAGCCTGGTCTCGATCTCTTGACCTGTGATCCACCCGCCTCAGCCTCCCAAAGTGCTGGGATTACAGGCTGAGCCACGTGCCTGCAATTTTCACCTCTGAGTTTACTTTCCCATGTGTAAAAGGGATAAAAATAATACCTATTCCATACTTTCCAATAATTACTGTTGTAGTGAATCCATAGTGTAGCAGGAGGGTTAAATTTTTTTGGGTGTGGGGACTGGGGAAAAAATGAAAACTGCTTATTAATTCAAGGTCTTCATTTGGAGGTGACAGAATAGGGCTGAGAAGGTTAAACTGACCATTCTAGTTCCTTTTTTACTTCTCACATGCAATGCAGCTTCCTTGAAGAGAAGATCCCTTTGCAACTTTTGGGGCCCCTCCTTCCCCTCCTCCCTGGCCTGGGTGCTCCAGCTCACCAGATGCGCATTCCAGAGCTCAGTGTGAATGCATTCATGTTTGCTAACGCTGAGTTCTTCCTCAGCCGTCTACGAAATGCCATCTCTTGTCCTTTAACTCCAGCCATCCAGGCCAGGTGCAGTGGCTCATGCCTGTAATCCCAGCACTTAGGGAGGCCAAGGCGGGTGGATCATAAAATCAGGAGTTCGAGACCAGCCTGGCCAATATGGTGACACCCTGTCTCTAATAAAAATACAAAAAATTAGCTGGGTGTGGTGGTAGGCTCCTGTAATCCCAGATACTTGGGAGGCTAAGGCAGAAGAATTCCTTGCACCCACGAGGCAGAGGTTGCAGTGAGCTGAAGATAGTACCACTGCACTCCAGCCTGGGTGACAGAGCGAGACTCCAACTCAAAAAAAAATTAAAAAAAAAAAAAAAAATCCAGCCATCCTGTAACTCCCAAGTGTCACCTCTTTGATAAGGTCATGACTCCTCAACTTGAAGAGGCCATTCTCTCTAGGAATCTCAGAATACTTTGTACCTTGGCTTATTATGATGATCCTTAATCTGTGGAAGTTTATCCCACCCTAGATTGTAAATTGTATCCCCTTGCTTCTTTCTTTTTTTTTTTTTTTTTTTGAGATGGAGTCTTGCTCTGTGGCCCAGGCTGGAGTGCAATGGCATGGCCTTGGCTCACTACAAACTCCGCCTCCTGGGTTCAAGCAATTCTTCTGCCTTAGCCTGCCAAGTAGCTGGCATTACAGGCACCCACCACCATGCCTGGCTAATATTTGTGTATATATATATTTAAATTTATTATTTATTTAATTTTATTTATTTTTTATTTTTTATTTATTTATTTTTTTGAGATGGAGTTTCGCTCTTGTTACCCAGGCTGGAGTGCAATGGCGCGATCTCGGCTCACCACAACCTCCGCCTCCTGGGCTCAGGCAATTCTCCTGCCTCAGCCTCCTAAGTAGCTGGGATTACAGGCACGCGCCACCACGCCCAGCTAGTTTTTTTGTATTTTTAGTAGAGACGGGGTTTCACCATGTTGACCAGGATGGTCTTGATCTCTTGACCTCGTGATCCACCCGCCTCAGCCTCCCAAAGTGCTGGGATTACAGGCTTGAGCCACCGCGCCCGGCTATGTATTTTTAAAGATGGGGTTTCACCATGATGGCCAGGACTGGTGTCAGGTGATCCACCCACCTTGGCCTCCCAAAGTGCTAGGATTACAGGCGTGAGCCACCGCTCCGGCCAATATTTGTGTTTTTAGTAAAGACAGAGTTTCATCATGTTGGCCAGGCTGGTCTCCAACTCCTGACCTCGTGATCCACCTGTCTTGGCCTCCCAAAGTGCTGAGATTACAGGCCTGAGCCACCGAACTCAGCCCTTCTTGCTTATTTCATGCCAGTGGTGCTTTGAGTAAAGTCTTCTAACAGAGCTGATTGAATTGAATTCCTAAATGAGCTGAATGGCAACATGATAGCACTAAAACCTGACCAGCCTACCATAGGTGGTTTTATTGCTTACGTATATAGTCATAGTATATAGTCATAAACAAGGCAGTAAGTATGAAGCAATTCTGTCAATTTTGTCAATTTTGTTGTTGTTAAAAAACAGGTCTCACTCTGTTGCCCAGTCTGGAGTTCAGTGGCATGATCACAGCTCACTGCAGCTTTGACCTCTTTGGTCTCAGTGATCCTCCCACATTAGCCTTTGGAGTAGCTAGGACTATAGGTGCACAGCACCATGCCTGGCTAATTTTTGTTTTTGATTTTTTTTGAGATGGAGTCTCACCCTGTCGCCCAGGCTGGAGTGCAGTTGTGCAATCTCGGCTCACTGCAATCTCCACCTCCTGGGTTCAGGTGATTATTCCGCCTCAGCCTCCCGAATAGCTGGGACTACAAGTGCACACCACCATGCCAGGTTAATTTTTTTGTATTTTTAGTAGAGACGGGGTTTCACCATCTTGATCAGGCTGGTCTCAAACTCCTGACCTCGTGATCTGCCGCCTTGGCCTCCCAAAGTGCTGGGATTACAGGTGTGAGCCACTGTGCCCCGCCTAATTTTTTGTATTTTTTGTAGAGATGGGGTTTCACTATGTTGCCCAGGCTGGTCTTGAACTCCTGGGCTCAAGCAACTCTCCTGTCCTGGCCTAGCAAAGTGCTGGGATTACAGGCATGCACCACTGCGCCCCTAAAGGGGACACATCAAAGGGTGAGTGGATGGAAAGCAGTTTGGGTGCTGATTGACATTTGAAATAGCTGGGAAAATGATTATTACTTTTTTCCTTTTTTTTTGCCTGGAGATTCCCAGTGTTGGAGTATATAATCATTGTTTTCAATTTTTTGAAGAGCTGTCAAATGGAAGACATTCTGTATTGCTCCAGGCAGCATGACTACTAGCAATGGAAGGAAATAAAGGGAAACAGATTTCAGCTCAGCAGGAGGCAGAACTTTCTAACATTTAGAGCTGTCCAACAGTGGAGCAGGCTGCATTACTTCAGGGAGTGAGCTCGCTGAAATTTGAACTGTTGAAGTAGAAGATGACCATCTGGTTGAATGTACAAGAGGGAATTCCTGCCTGGGTGGCCGCTGCACTAGTGACCTTTAACGAGGTATCTTCCAATTCTAAGGTTTCTAGACTGTTCGACTCACCTAACTTGACCTCTGAATATATGAGTTATTTTGTTTAAAAAATTATTAGACAGAGCCGGGCGCGGTGGCTCACACCTGTAATCCCAGCACTTTGGGAGGCTGAGGCGGGTGGATCACGAGGTCAGGAGATCGAGACCATCCTGGTCAACCACGGTGAAACCCCGTCTCTACTTAAAATACAAAAAAGTAGCTGGGCATGGTGGCGCGTGCCTGTAATCTCAGCTACTCAGGAGGCTGAGGCAGGAGAATTGCCTGAACCCATAAGGTGGAGGTTGCGGTGAGCCGAGATCGCGCCATTGCATTCCAGCCTGGGTAACAAGAGAGAAACTCCGTCTCAAAAAAAAAAAAAAAAAAAAAAAAAAAAAAAAAATTATTAGACAGTTTGTCGATTGACTTACCTAAAATAACTATATGGTCAAGTTTGTGATAAGTAAGATTTTAGAAAATGAGAAGTGGGAAAGCAGGTTTAATACTGAAAATCCAGATACCATCCAAACCAATTAATGGCATTTTCAACAAAAGTGAAGGCAGATTTGTGAGGGGTGTGCGCGTGTGTGTGAGAGAGAAAGAAGAGAGATAGAAAGTCATTCATTCGAATAATGCGTCCTGGGCAACTGAGCGTTGTCACAGAGAACATAAAACGCTCTACTTTTTTTTTTTTTTTTTTTGCGACAGACTTTCGTTCTTGTTGCCCAGGCTGGAGTGTAGTAGCGCGATCTCGGCTCACCACAACCTCTGCTTCCCTCAATAGCTGGGATTACTTTACACATACTTGCTCAGGCGGATTCTTCAAGTCCAGCATTACTCTAGGAGGAAACCAGCGCCCAGGCCTGGTGAAAAACATTCCGGAAGGCGATTCCGGACCCAGACACCCACGACCCTCTTAGCGGGCAACTGACCTGGGTGGGGGCTGCCTAAGGCGGAAGTGGGAGCCGCCGGCTGCCAGGGCGGAACTACGACTCCCAGGAGCCCCTGCGGCGCCGCGCACGCGCGCTGGCGTGGCGGTGGCGCCGCTGCAGGACGCGAGGAAGCCAACAGGCAAGTGGCGAAGGTGGCGGCAGCAGCGGCGGTGGCAGTCCCCGGCGAAGGCGACGGCTCCGAGGCCGAGTGGCGGTCCGGCAGAGTCCTCCGTGTCCTCCTCCGCATGAGCTCTTTGGTGAGTGCGCGCCCCGGTTTAGCTCGCGCGCGGTGTGCGGTTCCCTGCTTCCCGGCCGGGTTGCTCCGGCCTAGGGCCTCAAGCCTGCGCCTGACGGCTGGGCCGTCGGGTCCAACTGACCCCGGGGTTCCGGGCCCTTCTAGTCGATGTCGGCCGATGTGGGGGTCGGGGGACACTGGGTTAGGCCCAGGGGAGAATGTGGCGACGCGCTGGGGCCAGGGCGGCCTGGGGCTGAGGAGAGGGAGACGCGTGGGGGATGGGATGGGAAGGGACAGGAGGACCGCTGGGCGGCCCCGGGTAGGGACCAGAGACGAGCTACCCGGCAGGTAGGAAACTGAGTACAGGAGGCGAGAACAAGATGGAATGACTTCTGAGTGTGGCTGATAAAGCTGTTCTGCGGGGAAGCGTGACAAACTGGACACACGGGTCTAGGTGCAGCCCACCTACCACAGACACTCACTATACTTGGCATCTTTCCACTTGCTGTCGGAGGTCTGGAAGTGAGGGACTGTTGGTTGTTTCCATCCCTTTTCTTTCAACTTCACCTTTTATTGACTGGCAAAATTGTAATGGGTGCTGGCTAGGCAAACCACAGAAGTACATACAGGGTTCTGTGTATAAATGTGCATAAAAGCAGGGAGACATAGTGATAGGTTCAGATGAGAACTAGGTCAAAGGAGGAATCAGTGTTTTTATTTTTAACTTTATGACGAAAATCAGTTCTGAGCAGGACTTTGAACTAGAGAGGGGTTTTAAACTGGAGTTCATTGATGGATAGAAGGGTCCTTTCACTAGGAGGAGGATAAAATGACATCATTTTTATTGACTGCTAACAAACTTATTATTTCCTTCAATTATGCATGCAGACTACAAGCCAGAGTAGAATTAGCAATGCCTATGACTTTGTCATCAATAAAAATTAGGGGTATTTTTGTATCCTGTTTACAGTTGCAGATAGCTCAGAATATCATTTATGCTTATCACTTCCTTGAATTTCTGGTGTTATTAGACCCACCGTTAGATCTTGTTATTTAATGTGATAATAAAGCTGCACATATATTATTACCGTATTAGTTTGTTAAGTTGTTTTGCTAATATTTCTGTATAACTGGTTTCCTTTGCAATCACATATATTTAATTATGCGTTTAAAAGAAATCTGAGAAAGGGACCATAGGCTTCACCAGGCTGCCACTGAGGTCCATGCACAAAAAGATTAAGAACTCCTGAAATAGAAGTAAGTTTTTTTGGACCTATAAGTACACTTAGAAGAACATTTGAATCATTACAGCAAACAGGATGACAGTGTAGATGAAAGAGAATTTCATAATAAAGGAGATAAAAGATTAGAATGAGATCAGAGTAGTCATTATTATTGTTTTTGAGACAGGGTCTCCCTCTGTTGCTCAGGCTAGAGTGCAGTGGCGTGATCTCAGCTCATTGCAACCTCGGCCTCCTGGGTTCAAGCAATTCTTGTGCTTCAGCCTCCTGAGTAGCTGGGAATACAGGTATCCGCCACCATGCCCAGCTAATTTTTGTTTTTTTAGTAGAGGTGAGGTTTCACCATGTTGGTCAGGCTGGTCTCAAAGTCCTGACCTCAGGTGATCTGCCCTCCTCAGACTCCCAAAGTGTTGGGATTACTGGCGTGAGCCACTGTGCCTGGCCCAGAGTAGTCATTTTGAAAAATAGAATAGACCAGGAGTCCCCAAACTACAGCCCGTGGGCTGCATGCGGCCCCCTGAGGCCGTTTATCTGGCCCCCCTGCCGCACTTCAGGAAGGGGCACCTCTTTAATTGGTGGTCAGTGAGAGGAGCACAGTATGTGGCGGCCCTCCAATGGTCTGAGGGACAATGAACTGGCCCCCTGTGTAAAAAGTTTGGGGACGCCTGGAATAGACCATAGATATTTCACTCAGGGTACTGGGGAATGAACAGAATAATCGGAAGAAGAAAGGGAAGTGAATATGTTGGCCTTTAAATTTTTGTTTTAAGGCACTTCCCTAGTTCCAAGTGATTGCAGCTCTCTAAGCTTTGATGTAGGCCCGTGAAAAGAAATTTTAGTGTTTACTGGTTTTCTTTAAATCATGAAGGTGGTTTGGTTTTAAAGGAGAGGGGGCTATTCTAATTTTTCTTTCTTTTTTTTTTTGAGATGGAGTCTTGCTCTGTCATCAGGCGTTGGAGTGCAGTGTGGCGCGATCTCTGCTTACTGCAACCTCTATATCCTGGGTTCAAGAGATTCTTCTGCCCAGCCTCCTGAGTAGCTGGGATTACAGGCAAGAGCCACCATGCCCAGTTAATTTTTGTATTTTTGGTAGAGACGGAGTTTCTCCGTGTTGGGCAGGATTGTCTCTATCTCCTGACCTCGTGATCCTCCTGCCTCAGCCTCCCAAAGTGCTGAGATTACAGTTGTGAGCTACCATGCCCGGCCCTCTAATTTTTCTTTTTCTCCTTTTTTTTTTTGGTCAAGTGCAGTAGTGAGAAGGGGAGAAAGAGTAGAACAAGGAATTCGATCTGTAACTGACTGTGAACAATCAATTGAGATAACTCACTACCTTCGGACCAGCCTAATTTTTCTATCTTTAAATGAAAAACAGTAGAATCTCTTTTGAAATATGTTTTTCGGGCCAAGCATTGTGGCTTATGCCTGTAATCCCAGCACTTTGGGAGGCCGAGGTGGGTGGATCACCTGAGGTCAGGAGATTGAGACCAGCCTGGCCAACATGGTGAAACCCCGTGTCTACTAAAAATACAAAAATTAGTTCTTGTTTTGCTGAGGTTCTTTTACCTTTTACTTTGTGATCCTAGGTTCTTTTATTTCTCCTTCTTGTTCTTCCTTCTTTCTTTTGTTCTTTATTTTTTTGAAACATGGTCTTGCTGCATTGCCCAGGCTGGAATTGAACTCCTGGGCTCAAATTATCCTCCTTCCTCAGCCTTACTAAGTAGCTAGGACTATAGGTGGGCACCCCATGCCTGGCATTATTTCTTTTCTGTTTTTTTTTTTTTTGAGACGGAGTTTTCCTCTCGTTACCCAGGCTGGAGTGCAATGGTGCGATCTCGGCTTACCGCAACCTCCTCCTCCTAGGTTCAAGCAATTCTCCTGCCTCAGCCTCCTGAGTAGCTGGGACTACAGGCGTGCGCCACCACACCCAGCTAATTTTTGCTTTTTTTTTTTGAGATGGAGTTTCGCTCTTGTTACCCAGGCTGGAGTGCAATGGCGCGATCTCGGCTCACCGCAACCTCCGCCTCGTGGGTTTAGGCAATTCTCCTGCCTCAGTCTGCTGAGTAGCTGGGATTACAGGCACGTGCCACCATGCCCAACTAATTTTTTATTTTTAGTAGAGACGGGGTTTCACCATGTTGACCAGGATGGGCTCGATCTCTTGACGTCGTGATCCGCCTGCCTTGGCCTCCCAAAGTGCTGGGATTATAGGCTTGAGCCACTGAGCCTGGCTGATTTTTGCATTTTTTAGTAGAAACAGGCTTTCACCATATTGGACAGGGTGGTCTCGATCTCCTAACCGTGTGATCTGCCTGCCTCGGCCTCCCAAAGTGCTGGGATTACAAGCATGAGTCACCATGCCTGGCCCCATAATTTTTAAATATTGTTAATACTGTTTTTTCAACTCTGAAAAGTTGTAAGCCTACAGTTGTTCAGTAAACATTCACCTAGATTTGCTCTCAACATTTTGTCATGTTTACTTTACCACGTAGAAGATGCACATTTTACTTTGGGAATCTGAGATGGGCAGATTACCTGAGCCCAGGAATTTGAATTTTGAGACTAGGTCTTGCTCTGTTATCTAGGCTGGAGTTCTGTTGTGCTATCAGGGATCATTGCAGCCTCAACCTCCTGAGCTCAAGCGATCCTCCCACTTTAGCCTCTTGAGTAGTTTGGGATGTGCCACCGTACCCTGTTAATTAATTTTTCTTTTTTTTGAGATGGATTTTTATTTTGTTGCCCAGGCTGGAGTACAATGGCACAATCTCAGCTCATTGCAACCTCTGCCTCTGGATTCAACCGATTCTCTTGCCTCAGCCTCCCAACTCGGTGGGATTACAGACATGCACTACCATGCCTGGCTAATTTTGTATTTTTAGTGGAGATGGGATTTCACCATGTTGGTCAGGCTTGTCTCAAACTCCTGACCTCAGGTGATCTGCCCGCCTTGGCCTCCCAAAGTGCTTAATTCCAGCACTGCACCCAGCAATTTTTTTTTTTTTTTGGTTGGAGGAAGATGGGATCTTCTTCCTTATGTTGCCCAGACTGGTTTCAAACTCCTGGGCTCAAGCAATCCTCCTACCTCGGCCTCTCAAAGCTTTGGGATTACCTACATGAGCCACTGTGCCTAGCTGTCAGACCTTAAAATAAGCTTTATTTGGTGGGGCACAGTGGCTCAAGCCTATAATCCCTGCACTTTGGGAGGCCCAGGAGAGTGAATCACCTGAGGTCAGGAGTTTGAGACCCGCCTGGCCAACATGATGAAACCCCGTCTCTACTAAAAATACAAAAAATTAGCTGGGCATGGTGGCGCGTGCCTGTAATCCCAGCTACTCAGGAGGCTGAGGCAGGAGAATTGCCTGAACCCAGGAGGCGGAGGTTGTGGTGAGCCGAGATTGCGCCATTGCACTCTAGCCTGGGTAACAAGGCTGGAGTGCAATGGTGCAGTCTTGGCTCACTGCAACCTTTACCTCCCAGGTTCAAGTGATTCTCCTGCTTCAGGCTTCCTGGTAGCTGTGATGACAGGCTCCCACCAGCACTTTGGGCGAATTTTTTGTATTTTTAGTAGAGACAGGGTATCATCATGTTGGTCAGGCTGATCTCAAACTCCTGACCTCAAAGGATCCACCCGCCTTGGCCTCGTGAAGTGCTGGGATTACAGGCATGAGCCACACCATGCCGGGCCAGGTGTTTTAATCTGTAAAGGAACTAGGACCAGTAATTTTTGTACCTTAGACACATTTTAGAAGAAGTTTTAGTCACTTAGCTGTTTGATTTCAGGTAG